AGTGCTGTAGCATCACAGCTCACAGCAACCTTGAACTCTTGGGCTTAAGAGATTCTCTTGCCTCAACCTCCTGAGTAGCTGGGACTACAGGCACCCGCCACAACACCCGGCTATTTTTTGTTGTTGCAGTTGTTTAGCTGGCCCCAGCCAAGTTCGAACCTGCCACTTTTGGGGTATGTGCTCGGTACATACCATGGTACATACCACATACAGTGGTTATGTGCTGGTGTCATAACCACTGTGCTAAGGGTGCCCAGATAGTGTGCCCTATAATCTTAAGATAACATTTGCAAAGTCACTGTTGGCAAAAACCTAGTATAAAAATAGTCAATAGTACAAGTCACATATTGGAGCCTGAAGGAGAAACTGATTGTACAGTGAGGATTGGGTTGGTTAGTTCCATAGTAAACTGAACTTGGTCTTGAGGAAAAAGATTTCACATTAGGATAATGTGAAACACATTAGCTATGAAACACATAGAGCTATGAAAAATACTGGACATGTTCATGGGTAATTGTCACAATTGGTCTGCAAGGCAAGCAGAAGGTAATTGGTTAGAGGAGGGCTGCGTGTGATGCTTGGCTTTTCTACCTCCATCTGCCTTTTGGTCAGATTGACCAGGTACCAGAATGGTGCCGTCTGAAATATCTGCCCTGGAGTTACTTGCATGCAATATATTTTTTTCCTTGAGTAGAAAATTGAAGGACATTTTTAGCATTTTTTTTTCTGCCCAATATTTTCTCCAAGAACATTTTTTCTTTTTTTTGTAGAGACAGAGTCTCACTTTATCACCCTTGATAGAGTGCTATGGTGTCACAGCTCACAGCAGCCTCCAACTCCTGGGCTTAGATGATTCTCTTGCCTCAGCCTCCCAAGTAGCTGGGACTACAGGCGCCACAACCCTCGGCTATTTTTTTGTTGCAATTTGGCTGGGGCCGGGTTTGAACCCGTCACCCTCAGTATATGGGGCTGGCACCCTACCCACTGAGCCACAGGTGCTGCCTGTCTCTAGGAACATTTTTAAACTTTTAGAAATAGTAAGTGGATTTGCTAAATTCATATTTACTTGTATGAAGACAAAATGTCTTCAGTTTCTTAGTAGATAAGTGCAATTATCACAACAGTCAATTTTAGATCATTTTGTCACTTCTGGGAAAAACTTATCTGCTCCCCTGCCCAAGCCTCAAACAACCACTAATCCACTTTCTGTCTTCATAGAATTTGTACTTTTGTATGGAATGGAATTGGCCTTCTGGGACTGGCTTCTTTTTACTTAGCATAATGTATTCAAAGTTATAGCATACGTTAGTACTTCCTTTTTATGGCCAAATAATATCCCATTGTATGGAGATACTACGCTATATTTATCAAGTGTCTTCAATTTACAAGTGCCAACCAACCCAGCCAAAACTTAATGTATTATTTTAGGAGAGCAAGAGGGTAAGAGCACAAAGTTAAGGAAAGTAAATCTGAGCTGGGCGTAGTGGCTCACACCTATAATCCTAGCACTCTGGGAGGCCAGGTGGATTGCTTGAGCAAGGCAGGTGGCAGAACAGCTTGAGCAAGAATGAGACCCCATCTGTAAAACAGCCAGGTATTGTGGCTGGTGCCTGTAGTCCCAGATACTTGGAAGGCTGAGGCAAGAGGATAGCTTGAGCCCAAGAGTTTGCTGTGAGCTATGATGCCACAGCACTCTACTGAAGACAACATAGTGAGACTCTATCTCAAAAAAAAAAAAATCTGAACCATTAGGATTTGTTTGCAAAACCTGACTAACAATGGTACAGTTCTCCATTATATAGAAGGAGAGTAGAATATTACACTATACTTTCAAATTATAGTAATTATATATCCACACACGTCCATTTCTGCTTGACCCCATGCAGCGTGCGATCTGAGGAGTTGGGGATCTAGCGTAGAGACAGTGCCTGACCCCAGACATGAGTAGAAACAATCTTCCTTCATCAGTTAGGGGAAGAGCAAAGTTTCGGTTTAGCAATTGAGAAATATTTAGCCTCAAACCGGCAGGAATTCAATCTGATGCCAGGCCAGTCTCAGAGGACTGAGGCAATGACTCAGAGAGGATGGGTGGGGTAGGGTTACCAAGAACTCTGGAGGAGTTGTTTGTGAGTGGAAGCCCTGCCCCAAGGGCACTCAGTGGTGAAGAAAGCAATTTGTTCTGGGAAAGCAGTTTAAGAGGAGAAATAGAGTGTGTTTTGTGTAGCCAACAGTTTATGAGGAAAGAGCTTGAGAGGCTAGTGGTAGATGTGGAAAAACGTGTTGAGAAATGTGGCTTGTAGGACTGCTTGGCTGGGCTTTGGGAGTAGCAGGAGGTTCTGTGCAGTGAGAGGCCACCAGAGGGGCTAAGAGAAGAGTCTTTGCTATAGCCACACAGGCTGTCCAGGAAATATCAATGTGAAAATAGATGCATACACGGCTGGATACTCTCTGGACAGTCCTCATGTACTCATGAACTTTCTCTCTCTCTCTCTCTCTATATATATATATAACATATAAATGTTATATATAGGTTATAAACATATAAAACATATCTAAAAAATATATATATATGTTTTACATTTATTTTAATTTAATTTTACTATTTTATTTTACTTTATTTTATTTTCTATTTTAAATAGACTCTCACTTTGGAGTACCAAGGCCTTAGTTTAGCTGACAATAAACCTCACAATAAAACTCCTGGGTTCAAGTGATCCTCTTGCTAATATTTCTGTTTTTAGTACAGATGAGGTCCTTCTCTTCTTGCTCAGGCTGGTCTTGAATTCCTGACTTCAAGTGATCCTCCCACCTTGGCATCTAAAAGTGCCTGTTTTACATTTTAAAAAATATTATAAGAGAACAAAAGTAACACATATGAGTGTGGAACAATTGGACAGTAAA